AGTTCACACATGCCTGGTACATTACATACAAAATTCTTTTAAACCCATTTCTGAGACCAGTGGAGGATGGTTACAGACAAATTCTTTCAATAATACACCTGTCTTAGTTTTGTTATGACGTCTTTAAAACAAACAAAGTGATACTTTTTTTGTGCCATGGAAAGAATCGATTTTGAGGCCAGGGTTAATGTCATTTTTTAATAATAAAACTCAAGTTGACATCTTCTCAAATATTGAATTCTTGCAACATGTTTATAAGAATGCTGCTTCACATAAGACAACAGTTTTTAGATGGATCAAACATTTTAAGGTGGATTTCAAAAAATGAGCCAAGTGAACAAAGACTATTAACCACAATGAATGAAGGAGCTGAGGATGAAGTGAAGAAACTGGTGGAAGAAAAACGGTAAAATTACCATTAATGCAATGTTGTTGTTGTTAAGTGCCATTGAATGGATCTTGACTCATATCAAACCTTTATAGTGTTTCTGAGGAGCAGCAGGTGGGTTTGAACTGCTGATTTTGTGGTTTGCAGTCAAATGCTGATCTGAAATTGGTTTAGCGTTTTCAATTTTAAGTTAACATCTTGACTTCGGCAAGCTTTCTGCTCAATTGGGTGCCAAGAGTTGCATGAAAATTAGTTAGTTCAAATACTAACCTTTCCATCAGTATTTTAAGCAAGATTGAATTTAAGGAAGACAATTGTGTAAACTTAATCATAACTGGGGACAAGACTTAGATTTACTTATATGATCCAGAGATCAAGGTATGATCAAAAGTGGCTTCTGGGGGAATCGGCTGAGTCAGTTTAATTCAAATAGACAGGTCAGCTCAGAAGGTTATGGTGACTTTTGTGGGAATCCCAAAGCGGTAATCTATTTTTTTTTTTTTTCAACTTTTTGTTGTAAATTGCATGAAAGATTACAGACAAGATCATCAGCTTTACATTCAGCAAATTATATACTTTGTTTCATCTCAAAGATTACAATCCCCTCTCTGCAATATTTATCCTACTTCTTCCCTGTAGCTCCCATAATTTTACTTGTAAAATATTTTTATTTCTTTTTTTTTAAATTGTTTTTCTTGTGCATTGAGTGATAGTTTACATGGGAGAACATAAGTTTTGCATTCATCCTATCATATTTCATATCATTGCAATGATTACAAGACCCTACATGCATCACCATTCAACAGTATTTTATTCTATTCCCTCTGGATTTTTGTTTTGTTTTGTTTCATTTTACACAAAAACACTCAGGAATATATAATCATTTAAATAACCCAAGCTCACATTCTGCAAGCCTGCCTACTGGTCACCAGCATATTGCGTTTCTCTTTCCATTCAGCTGCTCTATCTCTCAATGTCCTCATCTCTGCCTCCATCTCTGGTGTCACTGCTTCTCTGGGCAGAGTTCCACATTCTGCTCATGCACTTCTCCCATTATGGTACCAGGTTCCTCTTTTCCTGGTATGTAAGATTAACTACTCCCCCCTTTGTGTTACAAAACTTCTACCTTTACAGTTGTGACAATTGCAGTTAATCATGATAACAATTAGTATGGAATCATAAGAACCTTATCCCCATCTCCTTTCACCAAACCTGTCTAGACAAGATGACAACTATTCAGTGGGGATTCTACCTTCCACCACACACTCTTAAACTAAACTCCCTCTTGAAAACTTGTAAGCCAGTCACTTCATGCCTTTATAGCCCTCCCACCCCCCATTTTAGGAAGCCAATGTCAAAGTTGCCCATCCCTACCAATCCTACGTACAGGGGGGATAGGAATGATTCTTGATATGAAGACTCCTTTCCTCTCAGTTGGTATTTGAGCTACTACATCCATAAATATAGGTCAAGTTCATAAAAATGTAGCAATTTAGACTTGTTTCCCTTATCAAATTTCTTTATCTTCCTCTATTTGAGTTATGATCATCAAACCATTGAATCTAGGTTAAACAGGTGCTATATGCAAGTTGGGCATTCTTGTGCAACTCCCCTCACTTCATACCAGCTGGATGTTTCACTCTTGGTTCTAGCCCTCTATGGTTAGGTCCTTGTCCATGGGCTTTGGAGTCCTAAGTCTCACCACACCCAAAGGGGTAATCTTGATAGTTTTTTTTTTTTAGAGAACATATGATTGTGGGGGCTTATTGGGAAGATAGCTTAAGAAAACTGGTGGGAAAACTGGTAGGAAAAAGGTCAAAAATTTTTCATGGAGATCAAATTTTTCCATCATTCCTATGCTCCTGCTCATTTTTTTTTTTTATGATAGCAAGGGCTGCCTATGATAATTTTATTGGGAAATACACATACAGTCCTGAGCTGCCCCTTCAGACTTATTATTGTTACCCAAATTTAACAACATTGAATAGGAACACGATTTGAGTTTGTCACCGATGCCAAAACTGCTATTTTGAGGCAGCGTAAATTGAAAAGAACAGAATTCTTCAAAGAATAAGAGATATGGAAAGACGGTCATCAGATATAGGTAGAGGATATGTTGAGAAAAACAGCTCACATTTTGATAGCTTGGTTTAATAAGTGTTTCTTTGATTTATAGCAATACTTTCTGACTTTCTCTTGCATCATACTTTCATCATAATATCTGTATTAAGTGCAACACTTATCATAAGAGGCAATATGCTGTAGTGGAAAGAAAATGGTCTTTTTTTTAATGTTTTATTGTGAATTATGTGATGGTTTTTGTGAATTATGGGAGAACAATAGCTTTACATTCATCCTATCACATATCATTTCATTGCCATGGTTACAATCCCTTCCATGCATCATCAATCAACCAAAGGATATACACTAGAAGCCTGTCCCCCAGTCATCAGCACACAGCCCCTCTCCCTCTTTGTGTCTAAAGTCCCCAGCAGCTCCATCTCTCCATGTCACCATCTCTGACTCCATCTTAGGCATCACTGCTTCTCTGGGTAGGGTCCTGCTCTCCGCTCTTCTCCCTTAATGGTCCCAGGGACTTTTGCTCCTAGACTGAAAAGTTAATCACTCCCCTCCTTGCTACAAAACATCTACTTTTACATTTCCAACACTCACAATCAGTCCTGATAACAATTATTCACCATTGTATCACAAGAGACCTATCTGCATTTCATTTCATCAACCCTGCCTAGACAGATTGGATACTACTCAGTGGAGATTCTACCTTCCTTCATGCCCTCTGGATCTAGGTTCCCTTTTGAAAGCTTGTAAGCCAGTCACTTCTTGACTTTGTAGCACCCCCCCTCCCCATCCATTTTGAGTAGCCAATGTCCAATGCCCTGTCTACTCTGTGTGTGGAGCAGGTGGTAATGATCCTTGCTGTAAATATTTGTTTCTTCTTTTGAGCTACTGCATCCATAGGTGTAGGTCAAGTTCATCAAATTGTATCAGATTACTGGTTTTTTCCTCTTCTTTCTTCTTCTGGTTGAGCTCTGATCATCCAGTCATTGAAGCCAGGTCAAGTGGGTATTATCGGCAAGTGTGGGTGTTCTTGTGCATATGCCCTCTCTTCCCATCAGCCGGAAGCTTCACTCTCCACTCTAGTCCTCTGTGGCTATGTCACTGACTCTGGGCCAAAGACTCCCCAGACCTTGCCCCACTGCTGGCCAACCAGGTCTCCACCCAGGTTCACAGGAGTCTATTGAACATTATAGGGCTTAGCTTGCAGCTTCATTGCTGTTTTTTCCCTCACTTTCCATTATCGGTGATGAACGTGGTCACCAATCAGAGCTTGTATTCCCATTGAGTCTTAGTCTTGGAAGGGGGTTTGCACTGAGGGGACCTGACCACGTGCCTTGATGTTTTCTGGGCAAGCATGTTGCTTGTTTTTGTAGTAACAGTTGGTCTGCCTATATTGTTTTATATTTTTCCTGCAGGTCTTTCTTTCAAGAAGTATCTTCTGTTCTTCTAGCCGCTCCAGGCTGGTCTGCTCATCCTTTCAAGTGGAAATTTCCCAAGATGATGGTCTTTGATGTAAAAAAGAGCCATTGTCAAATTACTTTTTTTGTTGTTGTTTTGGTTTACCAATATCTTTAAAGAAGAAAAATAATAAAAATTTTTATAATTTATATTTTCTTACATCAAAAACATCTTTAGTAAAAACAAAGAACACATTCAAAATTAGGCAGAAATCTTTTTTTCTTTTTCCCCTTTATAATTCAAATCATTCCCCCTTTGGACTGTTACTCTGGTGACAATTAGGTCCCCACACTTAAGAACATAGCATCTGCTCTGGCTGAGACAGAACAAGTGTTAACACAGACCCCAAACCAGGGCTTTTGGGGGGAAAAAAGAAACAGCAATGGTCAACCTTTTCCTTCATTTATAAATGGATTGTAAATTGGAGAGTCTAAACCTCCTTATTTCAAATGTAGAAAACCTGCAGCTCAATGCAAACGTGAAAACCAAAATGGATCAGGAATGAAGTTACACAACAACCTCATAGTACCATTTCATACACTCAAGACCTAGATGATTTTTTAGAAGTGTCTAATTATCTAGCCTCTTATATTTGGAATGGCCCCATGCCAACATTTTTTTTTTTTTTTTCTTTTTCATGCCAACATTTTTAAAGGAAGATTTATTTGTATCCATTTCCTTTTTCAAAGGGGTATGAAATGTATGAAAAGGGACATAATGGATTAGAATAAATCACCTCACTCACAAGAAACACTCCCGAATTTTTTATTGCTGAGAATATTCAGCACATTATTTCAAAGTGGCAAAATTGAGGGCAATCTGAGAAAAGAGAATTCAAAAGTGGCATCTGTAGTCACCAAGAGGTTTCAGTGGGGACACACCTTTTTTTTTTTTTTTTCAGTTTATCTGTTAAGGGGCCCAGACCACTGATCCTCAAAATAAGTTATTTTGTACATTACAGTGCACAGAACAAAAGACGGAAAGACACTTTCTCTGTGAGTGACCAAGAGGCATTTCATAAAAGGTTCCCCAATCCATCTGACACAAGAGAGGCACACAGTGTCTTCTGGCCTCATTAGCTTGAGCCCTTCTCCATTTGGGTTGCAGTAGCCTCAGTGGAAGCTGCTTTCTCAAAACCTTCTGGCTTCTTCTTGTCTTCCTCATTATCATCATCATCATCATCCTGGGGATAGAGGTGCAGGTATTTCTGCATGCATTCCTGCATGGCCCGGAACTGTTTTACACAGTCTGACCCCTTGACATCCTCTGTGCTGTAGTGAAAACAAGAAAAGGCTGACTTGAACTGCACCCCACAGTGGCCACTGGCCATTCCTCCAAGGCACAGGCAGTTCCAATTAATGTCTCCATTTGGCAGTATCAATCCTCATAACCAATATTTGAAATCGAATGGACAGCTTCATTACCAGTCTTATTTTACTGACAATAAATCCATGTATTGGTTCCATGTGAAATCATGACTATTTCTGTGTTTGGGAATGAGTCCCCACTGCAAATTAGTACAAAAAATATCTTCCATCATAATTGGAGTGTGACCTGCGTTAGTGAGTAAAGAGCTGATAAAAATCCTCCCAAGAGTTGGGTTTTAGTTTTGTTTTTTTGAGAAACATTCCTTTATTACACTATGAAGAAATAATTCGTATTTTGACTTTTTAAAATTCCTCCACGATACTTGAATAGCAGTCATCAAAGGCCCACCACTTCACATAATTGCAAACACTGACACTCTTCAAGAGGGTGCATTCTTGGGGTGGACTCTGAAAACTTCACACTCCATGTGTTTATAGTAGCTTGAGAACAAAGACAATGACATCCAGAACATAGTAGCTATTGTACATGTCACCTTCACAGAGGTACAGCAGTTTGGTGAAAGTTTCAACAACAAAGCCAAGTTTTCTGAAAACTTCTGGCAGACTATTCACTTGTTCTTCCCAATTTTGTTCCTTGAGTTCCAAAATTTCTGATGGTTTCTCCCACTTGCCACCTCTATTTTCCACATAGAGATGAAAAGGCAGCATCAGGGCAGGTATGAGCCTGCCTCTAGTTTGCTCCAAGATACTTACTTCCAATATCTTTTAACAAACAACTTTAAGGGTTGACCACAGGGGTCCAGCAAATTTAAGCAGCTGATGACTTCATACTGGAACTCTGTATTCTGCCATTCATTTATACCATGCACTCTGTATTTCTTTTCATGAACCTGCCATATCATAGTTTCAGATAACTTCGGTAGCATAAAACTTCACACAATTGCAAATTATGTGAAGTGCTCATGATTTTGTGACTTCTCCATCACCAGCACCCAAATCAAGAAGTCTATGGTTTTTCCAGTCTGGAATAATTTTAAGCAGTCTCTGAAATTTATCTGTTGAAAATACAACCATTGAGCCTCTTTCTAGCAACCCACTGATAGATTTTCTTAGAATACTCAATCATTTGAGATCCAAAGGGCAGCATTTACCATGTTCCTCATACGGATCACTGGGGTCATCAGCCACCAGCTCTTCATTGCTTGGAGTTTCATGGTCTTCTTTGGTCACTAACATAATTCGATCCTTCCCTTCTTGCCAGCAGTTGGCCATGGCGGCAACCTGGTACTCATGACTTTGCAGCGAGAGCAGTGGTGGCGGTTCCACGCCATCACCTCTGCTTAGGTAGGGCGGGTGGCTCTGAGCCCGCGGAGTCCAGCCCCCTCCAGGACTGCCCGCTGCGTGCCTGCCTCCGTGCCCTGTTGTTGTTGTTGTTAAGTGCCATCGAGTCGATTCCGACCCATAGCGACCCTGTATAGGGTTTCGAAGGAGCAGCCCTACCAGACTCTAAATTACTTCTTTAACTGTGGAACTTGGGCAAGATTATTATTTTTATACTTCCATATTTTATTTATTTGTTTTTATTTTTTTTACTGATTGATTGTAAAGCTTTTATTGTGAATTGAGTGGTAGTTTACATGGAAGAAAATCAGTTTTGCACTTATTTCATTGCAATTATTATAATCCCCTTCATCCATCACCATTCAACAGTATTTGCTTCTACTCCCTCTGGTTTTTTGTTTTGTTTTGTTTTAGGTTTTTTGTTTTTTATTTTTATGTACACAAAAACACTCAGGAATATATAATCATTTAAACAATCCAAGGGCACATTCTACAAGCCTGCCTCCTGGCCACCAGCATACATCCTTTTTCTTTCCATGAGTCTAGAGTCCTCAGCTGCTCTATCTCTCAATGCCATCTTACTTTCCTCCATCTCTGGTGTCTCTACTTCTCTGGATAGGGTCCCACATTCTGCTCATGCTCTTGTCCCTTGTTGGTCCTAAGGTCCTCTGTTCCTGGAATATGAGATTAACGACTCCCCCCTTTATGTTACAAAACTTCTACTTTTACAGTTGTGAAACTTGAGCAAGATTTTAACTACTTTCAGTTTTGTTGCTGTTAAGTGCTTTCAAATTAGTTCTGATTCATAATGACCCTATTAGGTTTCTGGGGAGGGGCTGGTGTATTTGAACCACTGATCTAGTAGTTAGCAGTCCAATACTTACCCTATAGTCCCACTCCAGGACTCCACTGAGTGTGCTGCTTTATTTTTTTCCCCTCACAATAGTGATTTTATTAAATTAATTGCTTTATAAAACATTGCAGATGTCATAATTGTTAACATAACAATTTATCAAACTGTAGTTAACTGGTACATTTTACTGAGCATCTTTTATAAAGAAAAGGAAATGTCAAAACCCTGTTAAAATTGTTCCATTGCAGGCTAGGAGAACAAAGGAGTTGCTTCTCATCCACTTAAATCATGCAGTTAAAACAACCAAAATTTCTCTCACTCATCCAGAGCACTCTATCAGTATAAATATTCTGTTAAATATAAACTTGACAGTCTTTACACTCAAGAGATGCCACAGCCTGAGATGCAGTGGAGGTTTACCTTCTTCAGTTTCAAAGTTGGAGGGCTTTGGTCATTTATTTTATTTCAATATTTTATTGTGAATTATGTGATAGTTTACATGGGAGAACATTAGTTTTACATTTATTCTATCGTATATTGTCTCATTGCCTGTTTACTATCCTCTCCATGCCCCCCATACCCCCCGGTCTTCAGCACACAATCCTTTTCCCTCTCTGGATCTAAAGTCCCCAGCTGCTCCATGTCATTGTCTCTGCCTCCATCTCAGGCATCACTGCTTCTCTGGGTAGGGTTCCGCTCTCTGCTCTTCTCCGTTGATGGTCCTAGGGACCTCCGCTCCTAGACTGGAAAATTATTCACTCCCCTCCTTGCTATAAAATGTCTTCCTTTACATTTCCAACCCTCACAATCAGACCTGATACCAATTATTCACTATTGTATCACAAGAGACCCATCTGCATTTCATTTCATCAGTACCACCTAGACAGATTGGATACTACTCACTGGAGATTCTACCTTCCTCCAGGCCCTCTGGATCTAGGTTCCCTCTTGAAAGCTTGTAAGCCTGTCAATTCTTGCCTTTGTAAGCCCCCCACCCCCACCCCCATTTTGTGTAGTCAATGTCTGAGTTGCCCATCCCTATCTACTCCTTGTGTGGAGGATGTGGGAATGATTTTTGCTGTAAGGATTTGTTCCCTACATCCATAGGTGTAGGTCAAGTACATCAAATTGTATCAGATTACACTTTTTTTCCTCTTCTTTCTTCTGGTTGAGCTCTGATCATCCAGTCATTGAAGCCAGGTCAAGTGTTATTATCTGCAAGTGTGGGTGTTCTTGTGCATATGCCCTCACTTCTTATCAGCTGGACGCTTCACTCTCCACTCTAGTACTCTGTGGCTATGTCAGTGACTCTGGGCCCAAGAGTCCCCAAGTCTTGCCACGCTGCTGGTCAGCCAGGTCTTCACCCGGCTTCACAGAAGTCTATTGAACATTGTAGGCCTTAGCTTGCAGCTTCATTGCTGTTCTTCCCTCACTTCCCCTTATCAGTGAAGAGCGTGGTTACCAATTAGAGTGTGTACTCCCATTGAGTCTTAATCAAGGAAGGGGGATTGCACTGAAGGGACCCGACCACTTATCTTGATGTTTTCTGGGCAAACAACTTGCTTGTTCGTGTAGTAACAGTCGGTCTACAACTTGCTTGTTCGTGTAGTAACAGTTGTTATATATTTTTCCTGTAGGTCTTTCTTTCGAGAAGTATCTTCTGTTCTTCTAGCCACTCCAGGCTGGTGTGCTCGTCCTTTCAAGTGGAAATTTCCCAACTCTGGAGATCTGGATGTGGTTGAGGCTTCCACTTATAGTCTTATATATTGCAGAGCTCCCCAGAAAGCCTCCTTCACAGGACATATTGTAGCCTCATTTTAGGTATTCCAATCAGTTATAGGCAGAAGACGGACTTACAAGCTTTCTTGGTGTTGTTTCTGGCTATTCCTTTCTCTCCCTCTCCAGTGTCTATTTTATAATATAATGCAAGGAAAACCAAGATTCAAAAGACAGCCAAGCATCTTAACATTTCCCTCCCCCTTTTCCCCATTTCAACCATGTCTCAATCGCTGTATCCCAGAGCCCTGTTCTTCCAAGGTTGTGCATACATCATTATTTACCTCTGTCCCACTTAGCCCATTCAGACCTGTCTGATTGTTCTCCCATCTGCTTTGTTCTTCCATTGCCCTCTCCCTTCTTGTATATTGCCCCCCCTCCCCAGCACCCAAACTATCCTATATCTAATCCCTGCCCTGTGCGCCACCTTCCCCTCCCTCACCTCACCCACTCCCAACATCCCAGCAATCAAGAAGGAATCCCCCTACCCCCCTTTAGTATGGGTTCTTTCCCTTAGTCTTTTACAGTAGTGGTCCTATGCAGTATTTCTCTTTTTGTGGCTGACTAATTTCACTCAAAGGAGCTCTGGTAGCCTAGTGGTTACAAATCGGGCTGCAAACCTTAAGACCAGCAGTTCGAAACTACCAGGCGCTCTGCGGGAGAAAGATGAGGCATTCTGCTCCCGTAAAGATTTACAGCCTCAGAAACCCTGTACAGGGTCGCTATGGGTCGGAACCGACTCGACGGCACTTAAC